TTTCTTGCTTTCTTGATAACGACAATCGTCAAAACTTTAAATGTGGCGTCAATCGCCATCTTCTGTTTTCTTGAACACAGTTCCCTTTATGACGCTTGCTCAATCCTCCCCACCCCCCAGTCTTTTCCTTCTCTTTCACTTTCACTCTCTCTACCACCCTGAGTTCTCGTGACATTATTGACTTGTTTGGAGTGAAATGATTAAAATATAGATAGATAGATGCTCATGAGTCATTTATAATTTTTTTTATTTATAATTTTTGATTGATATGTGTTCAAATATGCGAATATTTACCGGTTAGAAAACAAAAAATGCTTTCCATCTGCTGTATCGTCTGCTTCTGCATCAATGTGAGATTGGACTTTCACCAGCAGGTGGCGCACGGTAGATAGAGAGAAGATAAGATGTGTTAAACTTCAGTCACTAAGTTATGTGGTATTCTTGATAAAAAAAAACCCAAAACATCGAAATTCTAGCTGAGCGAAAGACAATCAAAACATGATGAACAGAGGGAGAATCACAGATAGGTACATAAGGAGCTGAATAAGAAAATAGAAGATACATATACTAACACAGAAATTGATTCAAATGACAGACAAGAGATTGGTATCAGTGTATATATATATATATATATATATGTGTGTGTGTGTGTGTGTGTGTGTGTGTGTGTGTGTTTCACCATCTGTTTAATATCTAAAAAACATTAAACTAATTGGGTCACATTTTTACAGGTTTTCAGATAACATGTTTAGCCATCTTGACACCATTTATCATAAGAATCATTCAAAAACCCTTTGATTTATTCAGCTCGAGAACAGGTTAAAATTGTTTTGTGTCAGACCCACTGTCTTCCCAAATGAGCTATAGTGAGAGGAAAAAGATCATTCAGACCACCTCGGCTACAAACGTTGAATATCTGCACCCTACCTCCATCTACCAATATGATACACCAGGCCAGTCTTTTGGAGCAAACTTTGTGATAAAATCACTTGCACGTCTCATTTCAGACATTTTCGACGACATGGAAATCAGTCATACATTATTCATTTGATTGGTATGAGTTTTAGCGGTTGTCTTACTTGGTTACGATGCAACTTTCGCCATATAAATAAAGACAATTACAACGTCAGAGCACACATACACACACACATACACACATGTCACACCTCACCTATGTCACAAAATTCTTTGCCTACATCACAAACTTCACTAGTTCTACGAAACTTACCAATTGTCTCTGCCTACCCTGATGACTTAACCCTTTGAGCCTTACCTTCCTGAACAATTTTAACCCTTCTGCCTGAGCTCCTGAGTCAAAATTCGCAAATAACTGGTATATAATGTTTCACGGTAGAAATAAAAATAATTACAAGTGTTTACGCACCATGCAACCGATGGCTGGGCATTAAGTCATTTCTCTCTACCACTGTTCAACCGGTGGTTGAGCATTATTACGTCATTTTCTCTACCACCGGTAAATCGGTGGTCAGGGATCAAAGGGTTAAGAACGTAGAAAGCTTGAATTATATATTTCTTATACTTTTCTTCCGAAATGAACTGAGGAAATTTCCTCCTTGTCTGAGAAGAATCATTCGTAAATTGGAAAAGTGGATCATTAAAACTAAACGCCACAAATCTTTTGTTTTTATATATATATATATGCGGACGCTTTTACCATCCTTAGCAAGTCCCACTGAAATTACCACCTAAAAGTGTTGGAGGCCATCTCTATTTTATTTTTAAAGCCTTATCTTTGTAAACAGAAGGACTTTATATTAGGCCTCCAACTAATTACCATTTAATTTTTTTCCACACTAATAAACTTTGCCCATTGTTCTTTTTTTATTATATAATTTACTCTATTTACATCGATCTAGCTCTGTTGAGCGAGGTACGAAACCGGTTAGCTAGTCCATTTTTCATTTTTACTTTTTATTATCATGAGTGGTAATAATAAAACTAAGTTTTGTCTATTCATGGCAGTGATAAAATTTTGCACCACCAAACATATCTTTAAATATATATATATATATATATATAATGTTTATCACTTTTAAACGTTATTTTTAGTTGATATTCGTATTTGTGTAGACGCTCTGTTTATTAAAGAGTATATTAATTTATTTTCGTTTAATGGCCTGGATGTTCGAGAAATCTTATCAGAGAAAAATTAAAGCCATCCGACTGCATTCGAATCTGCCTCCCTTGTCGATAGAGAAAACTACGGGACACTCTAACCAACTGAGGTGGCCATTGAAAAAAGTATTTATTATTATTATTATTATTAATTACTACAGGAAATAATGTCCCTTTATTGGAAATTTTATTGGTCTAATTATGTCAGATGATGTCACGCAAATTTCCTCCAGATGTATATATATATATATATATATATATATATATATATATATATATATGAACAAATGGAATATAATTTTACTGTACGTAACATTTAATTTAAAAGAGGGCTGAATACCGAATAGAAGTAAATATAATTTATTTTGGGATATTAAAGCAAACACATTTTAAAAATCGCTACACGATTACAATTATGTTTTGATACAACAAATATGACTCCTCGGGCGATATTCATCTACTGGCGAGTGAACGATTAACTTAATTTCAAAAGCAGAATACTTTCGCTTTTTGCGGGAAAAAATAACAGAATAAAAACAGGCTTGTGGGCTTTACTCTGATTAACCAATCAAGTTTGATCTACGATGTTTTTTTAATATAAGCCATGACACGATGTTGTCTGCATATAAATCCTAGACTCTTTATGAAGAGATACAAGTGGTTACATTATTTTGTAAGATTTATAGAAGTCTGGTGTTCAAATTTCCTAATAAGTAAAAGCGAAAGAGGTAGGGAGGTAATTTAACACAATATTAACCGGTTATATGATCTTTCAGCTTCTTACATAAAATTTTGTAGTTGATAAATAAAAGGCCCGTTTAAGAAACTGATAAATAACTTAACCTTTTGAAAAACAGATCAAAAATACAGAACTACATTGGCAAATTAATATGCAACCGTTAATAAAGAGCACCCATATAAGATGGCAATAATACCAACTAATCAATGTAAGACGTTGATAATGCGAACTAAACATCAATACGGAGCTATATTAAATGAATCTTACAAATAGAATAGTAAGCTATATAAGGTGCACCGCAGTTCATCAACTGATTATTACCGTAAGAAAAAGTATTATCAAATTCAAAGTTTAAACATATTGTAAGATAAAAGTAGACTATGCCTACAATTTACTGCCAGTTCAATTCTTTGGTTTAATAAGGTGTTTTTATAAGGAAATCTAATAATTTCTAATTTTTCAAGTAATCATAAAAACAGGGTCCATTTAAAACTCTACATGTTCTTGCTTTTTTATTTTTCTATTTTACGTTGCTCGTTTTAATAGCTTTTTTTACATTGCAAATACATTTAGTAAGAGATGTACTATTTTTATAATTATTATTGGTGAAGGATATGTGGATACCAGTATTAAAAGAATTCTTAGTACTACCAATATAAATTTTTTCAACAGTCGGATTCTTATTGTAGAAATAGTCCTTAAATAAACATAAGAATTGTCTAAACATTGGTTTTGTAATGTGCATTCGTTAGAATTCTTGAAATTACAGTGGTTAATATTATCAACAGTATTTATCTTGGAATTTGCATTATTATTCACATTTTTAAATTGGTTTAAAATTTCATTATTGTGTTTCTTTATAATCACTCAAGATTATCGGTGCAGCTATAACTTAATTTTAGTGTGTTTCTGATAAGGTAGTTAAATGGGGGTTACTAAATGATTTTCCTATTCCTATTTCTTTTCGTTAGATCAATATTATATTTTCTATAATTGATTTCAGCATACATGTAGCCACTATTTTTAAAGTGGTATTATAAACACCACTGTACTTCTCAAATACATCTTTGTCATATGAGTTGTTGCTAATCCTACATTCTATAGATGAAGGTATATGTTTGATTACAGATGGAGGGTGGTTAGAATTAGGTGAATATATATTGGGTTAGCATTATTTTTCATATAAGGTTGGAATTCATCATGAACAAGATCTAACGTAACATCAAGAAAATCAACTATAAATAAACCTACCAGGTCAGAAGACTCTGCAGAATCTAATGATCCCATAGAAATATCAAAGTGATCATCAATGCTTTCAGCCCATTGTTCATTGTGGTTAATAAGAACAGAAGTTATACAGAACTTATACAGTTCATTATTTAGATCTTCAATGGAAATATTAGAGTATTCATTAGCAAATTTTAAAGCTAAGGTAAAATGGTATTTTGCTTTAGAAATTAAATTAATCGTTCGCTCGCCAGTAGTTTAACATTGCCCAAGAAGACACATTTGTAGTGTCGAAATATAATTGTAACTGTGTAGAGATTTAATTTTTTTAATATCCTAAAATAGATAATTATATATATATATATATATATATATATATATATATATATATATATATATATATACATGGTATATTTAGACAGTAACCATACATTTAAGATAACTTTATGAAATAGAACGGACGTGGAATGTATTAAACCTTTTGGTGAGTTTCTCCTGATGCCAAATATGTTGTTGGATATTGAAAGCAAAGTACACGGAGCCTAACATAATTTCGCCAATTTCATTTGCATGTTTCCACCTGACATCAAACAAATTACTCGATACGAAAAGCTTGACAGAAGGCATAACATATTCCCTGTCGTTTCTACTACTACTACTACTACTACTACACACACACACACATATATATATATATATATATATATATATATATATATGCGTCTGTGTAAAAATATGCGTATTAATGCAGTAGAACCTGTATAAAACTAATGTTTACAATCACTTCGAAAAATCTTATCTGTATTCTTTTAATAAGTTGCCTGATTTTCTTTGTATATTGTTGTTTGCGTTTATGATCAAATTTCGACACTTATTCATATTTTCTTATACACCTCAGTAATTTTCTTCCTTCGGGTGTTTTAATTTTCTTCTCTCTTATTTTTTTCTTCTTATTTGTAGATCTTATCTTTTCATTCTTTTGGGTGTCTTTCTTTTCTTCTTCTTTTCAGAGCTTACCATTTCATTTTTTTTTAGCTGTCTTCTTTCTTGGCCCGCCCGCTTATTTTCATATTCTGCATTATTTTCTATTTAAGTCTTCTTCTTTCTCACCTCAAACGTTTTATTCGTTTTCATTCATTCCTCGATTTCAAATTTATACCTTCTTTTTCTTTCCTTCACATTATAACTTAACCTAATTCTTTCTCGTCTTACCTTCCTAAACCTCGCCCTTCTCCCTTTCCTTCTATTGTTGCTTTACTTCATTCTTTCCCTCACCCGTTGCTTTCCTTCGTTCTTTCCCTCTCCCGTTGCTTTACTTCGTTCTTTCTCTCTCCCGTTGCTTTCCTTCGTTCTTTCTCTCTCCCGTTGCTTTCATTCGTTCTTTCTCTCTCCCATTGCTTTCCATCGTTCTTTCACTCTCCCTTTGATTTCCATCGTTCTTTCCCTCTCCCGTTGCTTTACTTCGTTCTTTCTCTCTCCCGTTGCTTTACTTCGTTCTTTCCCTCTCCCGTTGCTTTCCTTCTTTGTTTCCCTCTCCTGTTGCTTTCATTCGTCCTCTCCTTCTTTTGTCGCTGTCATTTGTTTCACCTATTTCTCTTGCCTTATTCGTTCTCTGCTACTTCATTCATTGATTTCTTTCATTATTTCTTTTTATTTTTTTTTCCTTTGCCTTCAACGTTTTTTTTTTCTTCTGTTACCCTCCTTCGCTTTTTCTTTTGGTCTGCTGTTTTCAATCATTCTTTATTTCTGTTTTTCCTTTATTTCTACTTTTCATCCACTGTTAGTTTTACTCACTTTTTACTTCTTATATGTCCTTCAGTTGTTCGACGTCACTTTAGCTGAATTCATTCGTTCTTTCTTTTTTCTCTTGTTTTCATTCATTTTTGCTTTCTTCTCTCGCCTTCATTTTCGTTTCTTCTTTCTTTTCTTGCCTTCATTCTTTCTTTCTTTTTCTGCTGTTTTCATTTCTTTATCTTTCTTCTGGTGTCTTTATTAATTTTTATTGCTTTTCATCATTTTTATTCGTTCTTACCAACTTTATTTGCGCGTATGTCATTATTTCTTTCTTTCATTCTTTCTTCAGTCCCTTCTTACATCTTTTCCATTCCTTCAAATTTTCTTTCATTGATTTCTCATTTCAGTATTTTTTTCACTTTTTCTTTCCTGATTTTTTCAGTTTTCATTCCTTCTTTCTCCTTCGTTCCGATAATGCGATAATTCTCGTTCTCCTATATTTCACATCCACTTTAAAATCATTTACACAAATGCAACCAGCTCCTGCTGTGTTACATTGACAATTTCCTTGCTGCTTGCCCGTGCGCCTTGCTGAAATGAATACCCGATAAAGATGACAGATTACAACAGGTGGTAGTCTTTTTGGCAACGAAACAAAGCAAATAACCTCGGAGACACGCTTTTTTTTGCTAATTCATGTGGTTTCAACTAATTATATTGTACTTCCTCGCCAAGCCAATGACGCGTTCTCCAAACAGAGAAAAGTTGTCACAGAATTCATCTTCTATGTGACGTGCACTTTCAGAACGAGAGTGATCATGGCTCTCCGCAACCTCCTATCTCTTGTAGCTCTTAGGAACGTTTATCCCTTTGCCAAACCTCCTCCAATTCCACAACCCATTCACACAAGCCCGTCAGTTAGATGAGTCACTGACTATCCGTATCCCTCTTTTCTGCGATAAGTCCTGTGAGAATTAAATTCTTCAAATTTTCTTTTATCGAGTTATTTCCTAAGCATAGCTTAGACGTGGCACAAGGCCGAAAGTATGGATCACCCAGTGAGGAATAAACTCACTACTTAGTCGTAATTGATCTATCAAGAACCTTGCTAACAATTACACCACGTTGAATTACCTGAAATAGCAGTTTTCTAAGCGTAGCTTAGATGTGGCACAAGGTGGAAAGTGTCGAGTACCCAGTGAAAATCAAACTCACTACTCAGTCGTAATTGGCCTAGCGAGTCAAAATGATATTCTAATTGAAGCTTAAATGTGGCACAAGGCCGAAATTTTGAAGCACGTAGTGAGGATTGAACTTACTACTGAGTAGTAATTGATCTTGCGAGACGAGCTTGTTAACTTCACGTCGAAGTTCCTAAACGATTTTCTAAGCGTAGCTTAGATGTTGCACAAAGCCTAAGATGTGGAGCACCCAGCGAGGAACTAAATCACTACACGTACATCGTGCCTCCATAGATGCCGCATGGGCTTCTTTTCTGTTTTGAGGAAACAATTGAGAGAGTAGGAAATTCTTTGGTTTGTGTTGTAATTATATGTGAAAATGAAGTTTTTTTTTTTTAAGTATATATCGTGAAATAAGGATTCCTAATTATGCTTTTTTCTATAACGAGTTGAATAACCAGTCCTACATAAAAAGTTGTCATAGAAATTCTCTTACCTTTCTAAAAATTCTGTATAAAGATGTTCATTAAGAGCTGACCATGAGAAAAACATTTAAATAATTTTATGATATTTATATTATTAGTATTATTATTATTATAAGTAGTAGTAAATCGGCAAACATACTAATTTCTAACTTATTTAAATAATTATGTATATCTTTAAGAAAATCTAATTAAATAGATTATTTTGATTTCTTAAGATTATTGCATAACCATTTTCGGTTCCATAATTTGTAATATGAAGTGTCACCTTTACAAACGCTAGAAAGACAGACCTAAATTCTTTTTATAGAAGAAAAATGATTTTTTTTAATCTAATTCACAGAAACAGTTTATATATAGCAATTTTTAAAATTTGAATAAAAAATAACACAGATGAAATATTTCTTAAAATATACTTAAATTTTTTTTATGACAATTGGATATTCTTACCAGTAATGTACATGCCTTTTGTTATATTGATTACATGTTAACAATACGAACTGTTTTGTTCTATTATTGAAAGGTAAGGACACAGACAAGACACACAAAAGAATACCAGTCCGAAATGAAAAGATATCATAGAAGGTCTCTTTATTTTATGTGCCGTGTTCGTTCAGGACGAATACGATCATGGCTGTCCACATCTTCCTGTTCTTTCTTCGTTATTTTTCCGAAACCCTGTTCTGTCTGCCATTTGCTAAAGCACATCAAGTATGTTTCGCTCTGCTTTCCTCTTTCCCTCTTTACCTCTATCTGTCTTGTGAGTATCCAATTTTCCAAACCCTCCTTCCTCATTACTCCAAGAAATTTTAATATAAAATATAGCAAATATCATATACATATATGTGTGTGTGTGTGTGCGTGCGTAGGTGTACTAAGTGTAACATCAAAATTGTCCAATTAAGCTTTGAACCATTTTACCTTAAAAATGATTAAAGATATGTTACTGGAATTCTACAAGTTTTATAACATTATCTGACTCTACTTTGAGCAATAACAAGCTTAACAGAAGAACTGTGATGAAATCCATCATAAACGAAAATGAGATGTTCATCATTAATTAATCATATCTACGAATCGCAAGCTCATGAAGGTTTGAAATAAATGTCAAATATATATATATATATATATATATATATTCCAGGATCATTTTCCAACTTATTCAAGATGATCTTCGTCGTCTCTAACCAAACTTTCTGTCATAAAGTAACAAGGCGCCTCACACATTTCATGTACGATTTCATTTTCAAGTCTTTTTTCATTGCTCTTTGTACTGTCAGAGCTGAAACTTCTCTCTCACGTTGCAAACGTCTTATGGATTGAGTTGGATCTTTTCTAATTAATCCCTTTACTTCTAAGTTGAAATTATGATCCCTCTTGGTATTGTGACCTCCTGAACCAGTTTTCCTATCTACTGGTCCCTGTTTTTTTTAAACTTATTTACCGTTCTCTTGATGGTTCTTGAGTAGACATTGAAGATGGAAACTAGAATATGAATGTTGGTACCATTATTGAAGACCAGAATGATTTTTCCACTTGCTCAGTTTAGAAGACAGTGGGGCTGACAAGAAACGATGTTAAACTGCTGTCTTTCTTGCCGAATAACTCAAACGGTTTTTTCAGTTATTCTTGAACAAATGCTATTAAGATGGCGAAACGCCTTATCTGAAAACCAAGAAAAATGAAATTCAATTAGTTTAGTCTTTTTTTAGATATTAAACATTTTGTGGGATCGGCAATTACGCTGTAACACGAGTTGGACAAATTTGCTGTTACACCCGGTGTGTGTGTGTGTGTGTGTAAGATTTCCCAAATGTCTAGGATGTAGATTATAAAAATATTTTCTATGAAACCGACGTCATTTATTTCCTATTAATGACGAAGTTGTAAAAAAAATCTATGTATTCTTCTCTCTTCCTCTCTCCATATATATATATATATATATATATATATATATATATATATATATATATATATATATAGTCCAGGCACTTTATTTGATAAATCCCGGCATTTGAAGTGGTGTTGCGTGTAATTTACTTCCTGGCTTTCTTTGATTGTCTTAGAGGTGGTGGTAAAGACTAGTGTTGGGGATAAAAAAATTATTTTCAAATTTTATAGAGTGTTGAAGGGTAAGATTATGAATTTTGTACTGTCGGTGATGTTTCCTTTTTCGTATTGTGGATTTCATTTGATCATTTCCTAGCGTTGAAGAGGAAATGATTTGCGCAGTAAAAAATGTAAATGTTTTTCCACAGCATTTCATCATCTTAGGTAGACCGGCTTCTTAAGTAAAACCCTACGCTCAGTCCTGATTTTATTTATTTATTTATTCAAGAAAAACATTAAAAATATATTTATTCATCAGGTGTTATTATAAACATAGTGCTCAGTTTTATGAAACAGAGCTATAAGTATATATTATTGAATATATATAATATCCAACGTCGATAGCGGAATTTCATACAGTTCTTGCAATCTACAGATGTAAATATGTTCTGACCGTTATGGAGTTTCACGTTTCCGTGGTAATGATTCAAAATCGTATGTTAAAACTTGTTTCTTTAATTATTGTTGCGTAAAATATTGGAATTAACTATTAATAATTTATAGCGTTCAAATTCTTCGGAAGGCGAAGAATAAAAAAATGAAAAAAATAATTTTAAAATTATTTAAATAATATATATAAAGGTCTATTCTAAATGTTATGTTATGATTTTGTATCCTATTAAAAACGTGACAAGCATACGTGTAACTAAAAGTTTCACGCTAATAGAACCGATTGTTAGACTTTGTTGA